CTGGAACATCGACACTGTACCCAAGCTAGATACCATCTAACTTACTGAAGTCCCATCGTGGCTCTATCAAAGTTGAAATGTCCCACAAGTTTTGTTTCACTTTAATTCGTTCAGTGATCAAATTACATGGCTGTTTCTCTGGTAGTGAACATAGGTTTCATTTTTAGCAGTCATACAAATTAGCCCCCTTTTAAAAATAATACGCCCCAGTACCCGAGTGATAAGTGAGCGGAGTCGAACCACATATCATGTTAATCTTGTTATAAATAGCGTTTATGTATAGTGCTCTGTGGGCTTTACAATATTATATCATCATCTTAGCAGAATTTATGGAACTTAGAAACAATCTCAACTCCTTGGGTAACATAAGCCTACAGTGCGAGCTGCTATTTTACAGGCGTTTAAGCACTCATGTACTGACAAGATCTTTCGCTGTACATAGCCGGATTCCCATTCAAACGTAAGGGATGTGAGGAAGACGTGTGTTACCTGGCTTTCTCAAAGACACATTGTAGGACTGAGCTGAACCTCAAACCCCTGAACCAACAACCTCACCTTTACGAGTGTGGTATCCTAACCACATTGTATAACACCACCATGCCATTATGAAGAAAATACTCAACGGCGAGATATGGGGCAAAATGGATCAGGGTGAACAATGAGCAGTGTGGACCGATAACATCAAAGCATTGATTGGCTTAAACATGAAAGAGGGCATGACGGATCAAGAAATGTCTACGTTTTTCTTTTGTTTATTTGTTTGGTCTTTTGTCCGTTCGTTCGTTCGTTCGTCTGTTTGTTTGTTTATTTGTTTGTTTGTTTGGGGTCTTTTTGGCTAGGTGTTGTTTATTGTTTGTTTTTTGTTGGGTTTTTTTGGTTGGAATCTTGGTATTCCTTTGATTTAAATTTGGCATGACTACTATAAACCAGGAAATAGTTCCATAATATTTAATGGAACCAACTTCTAAGTAACTACATTTTCTTTGTGTTGCGTGCTAAATAACCCCCCCCCCCCCACACACACACACACACAAAGACACGCATGCATGTGCACGCACGCTCGCACGCGCGCGCACACACACACACACACACACACACACACACACTCTCTCTCTCTCTCTCTCTCTCTCTCTCTCTCTCTCTCTCTCTCTCTCTCTCTCTCTCCCTCTCTCTCAAACATACACCTATCCCCTCCCAGCCCCACCCCACACGCACTCATACACGCACTCACGAACTCCCAAAAGCTTAAATATAATCCCATTTTATGTACCTTCCACATCTCATACATCGTTGTCTTTTTCAGTACAAATAAGATTTAGCATAGCCGACGAGGCCTGTCGAGAGGGGGGGGTCAGGGGGAGCCAATCCCCCGGGGCCCGGGGGTTTGGGGGGCCCGCAAGCAAGGGGAAAAGAAAGAGAGAAAAAAAAAAGAGAGAGAGAGAGAGAGAGAGAGAGAGAGAGAGAGAGAGAGAGAGAGAGAGAGAGCGTATGTTGGTATGTAATAGATACGCTACAGTGAAGTGATTATATATGCCTATGTACATTAATTTGTTGGGTTATTAAATTGCAGGTGAGGGTGGGTGGGGCCGGGGGGGGGGGGAGGAGGGGCCCGAAGGTGATCGCTGCCCCAGGGCCCGACAAGGCTCTCGACGGCCCTGCACACAGACTCAGTTCTAATGACATTAACCTCTCCCAAACCATCATTCATTCACCCACCCCAACCCACTACCCTATTTCTGCCGTCATTTTTAATATTACAGTACCGGTATATGCAGTTTTTACAATTTTACAGGAAACCCCAAAAAACTGAATGTTGTTCCCAAGAAAACAGCATAATTTGCTTTAAAGAAAAAAAAGACAACAATCATCAAAATGATATTCTTATAAAAGTTGATTTTTAGGATTTTTGCAACGAGTTTGCTGTCTTGGTAACAAAATTCAGTTTTTAAGTTTCATCTTCATCTCTCCTCCTTTTTTATTATTATGACCTTGTTGTGTTGCTAGTGCCGTAAAACGCTTACTGAAGTTTTTAAAAAAAAGAAGTAAAAAATTTAAAAACTGCATATACTGTACTTTTAAAATGACGGCAGATTTTCCCCCCAACGTCGTATCGATGGACTGGCGTGAGGTCCGACTATGTATTGGGAAGACTAGCCAGGAGCACTGTAAAACCTGCTCGCGACGGAGGATTATAGATTACGCTTATGTCACCAAGTGAGTCATCTGTATATTTATACATACCTCGCATATAAGTAATAATCCTTTCTAATAATATCCCCCCCCCCCCCCCCCTTTTCCCCACTATTCTTTCACATTTTTTATTTGGCATGCAACACAAAGGAATATAGTTATTTTGAAAAAAAGAAAGGAACATGAAGGTAAATGAATTATAACCCC